CTTTCTGGTTCAAATATTAGGAACCAAGGAAACCACATGTTTCTGTTTATATTTCTCCCCCTAATAGGGGATGAGATGACTTTCATCACAGTTAATTAGAAGAATGAATTTGTCATATATGTCACCTCCCAGAAGCACCTCAATGAAATGCCAACGTTATCATTTTTCACATCCCTTAATCACCATGGAGATTAAGTACTAAATCAAAAGTCTATAGAGTTAACCCAATATAAAGTAATATTGGGTATTTGAAGTCTCAAAAAAGGTTGACCCATTTTTTTTCATAGTCTTTTTCCTAACCATTGATTAAAAAGTTAGAAATCTATTTACTTAATCTATGTCATATGTATGGAAATTTTCATATAAATTTCTAGCTCAGTAAGCTACAACTGTCTAGTTCTTTGCAGATGTTGCATGATGAATACAGATTTGATGATTGGTTAATAGACACCGCTTTTTAAAAAATATATGTTTTTATTGATTTCAGAAAGGAAGAGAGAGAGAAAAAAGGGATAGAAGCATCAATGATGAGAGAGAAGCATTGATGGGCTGCCTCCTGCCTATCTGTCGATCGAGCCCACAACCCGGGCATGTGCCCTGAGAGGGAATCAAACCATGACCCCTGGTTTATAGGTCGACACTGAACCACTGAATCACATCAGCCGGGCCAGTTTTGGTTTTTTTAATATGGCTAGGAAATTATTAAATTAACACTTGCCAAATTATCTTGCTTTCTTATGGTATTAACTACATTCTACCAATTACTATAACTATTTATGTACTTGGTACATTCCTCACTAGCTTTTAAAAAGTCTAGCAAGGTAGCTAAATCGGTTAGAATGTCCTCGTGATATGCCAAAGTTGTGTGTCCAATCCCTGGTCAGAACACATGTAAGAATCAACCAATGAATGCATAAATACGTGGAACAACAGATCTCTCTCTTTCTTCCTGTCTCTTTAAAAATCAATAAGTAAAATAGAAATAAAAAAAAAAAGAGTGCTGTGGCAGACAGCAGATCTTACTTACATTCACCTCAGCACACTGTACCAAACACAGTGCCTGCACCTTGTAGATAACAAATGAATAGTTGTCAAATGGAAATTTAATAAATTAAAAAAATAAGCACAGTATAGGTTGGAAGCCTAGCACAGAATGGGCACATGGAGGTCTCTCGATAAACACGAGCTAAGTGAATAAATGAGTCATAAATCTAATTTTAACCATTAAGTAGCTGTGAGACATGGTTAAATAACTTCCTATTTTGGGCACTTCTTTTTCTCATCAATAGTATAAGATATTTTCATTAAGGAATGTTTTTCTAACTGCTTTCAGACTCTAGAGATGTGTTTTAGGACCTCCATGAAGAATGAGGCACTTTCTCAGCCAATGATAGGAATTTAAGTGCCTTTGCTTATGTCACACCTACCATAGTCTTTCAAACAACAGCTCTACTGTTAAAATTGTTGGAAAAATATTGGTGTAAATTGCAGTGTAGAATTTTGCTTATCTCAAACCAGTTTGCACACATACCACTTAAAATTCATCTTGTTGATATTACATTAACTTACAAGAACTGGACAAGGGGTCCTGCTATTCCAGACGCCACATTCAAATGAATTTGCCATTCATTTTTATAGGAATATTGGAGGCAACATTAATTAATTGCAAAGGCATATAATAGTTCCTTCACTAAAAGGAGAAATGTATGGTCCTCTGTCATGCGTGCAATGAGCTTTAAATAATAATTTTAACATTCTGGAATAAAATATATCAGTTTTTTTCTCTTTTGTTCACTCCATAGTCTTATTTTAGTTAAGAGAGCAGCGCTTGGAAAACATGTTATTGAATTCTTCTTCGATGTAGCCATTCATCGAAAAGGTGGTTGGTTTGATTTATTTCCATCTCCCCAGACAATTAAGATTGGCAGGTTGGCAGATAAAATGTAGCTGCTTTGATTGATTTCTTAGAATGTAAAGATGTCTATCAAAGTTATTGGACCTGAGACATTCATATGGCTTAGAAATAACCACAAAAAATAATAATAGTAAATAACAGTCATAAAAATAATGATAATAAAGAGCTCTATTGAATGTTATTTATTGTTACTAGTGCTAGCCACGGGGCTAAATCATTTAAATATACAACCAAATGTATTCCTCCTGACAACCCTGTGTGACAGGTTCCATGATTACAGGAGAGGAAAATGAGCATCTTTTCCAAGGTTAATAGTTCATATGTGAGGAGTCAAGATTCAATGAACTTCTAATCTAATAGGCATGAAGATAAAAGGACACAGATTTCACACAGGTAGAATATAATGAGTGCTATGAGAGAGGCGCACACAAGTATGATTTTCTCTAAGATTGTCCATCTGTGTCTTGATTGGTTCATTGATTTTCATAGGTATACACTCAGCATTCACATATTACTTCTCTCCAGCCTTGCAGGCTTGGCAGATCCTTAGAGGCTCTCAGTACTTTCATCTCTTTGCAGGATGTCTTTTTTAAAAAAAATATTTTTATTGATTTCAGAGAGGAAGGGAGAGGGATAGAAAGATAGAAACATCAATGATGAGAGAGAATCATTGATCGGCTGCCTCCTGCTTGCCCCCCACTGGGGATTGAGCCCACAACCAGGGCATGTGCCCTTGACTGGAATCGAACCTGGGATCCTTCAGTCCACAGGCTGACGCTCCATCCACTGAACCAAACCAGCCAGGGCCAGGATGTCTTTCTGTGGCATCCCCGAGAACTGGTCAGAGAGTCCTTTTCCTGAGTACCTTTAGCAATGAGCACGCTCTCTGCAAGCAGGGAGCATCTGCTTCCCAGTTTCTGTGTATGAGTAGCAGTTGAGCAAAACTGGGTTTCCTTGTACCTTCCCATCTTGGTTTTGCCTAATATAGCCAATGAAAATTTTATGACTGTCCCTTGTCAACAACTAAATCCTTCTTTGAGGCCACTATTTGGCTCTCTTCCATCTCCCCATGCCTCCTTCTGGTTGATATATAATTATTTAGATGTAGATACTAGCTTTTCTCTTCTTTTTTAAAAAATATATTTTTATTGATTTCAGAGAGGAAGGGAGAGGGAGAGAGAGGCAGAAACAGCAATGATGAGAGATGGTCATGAATCAGCTGTCTCCTGCACGCCCCACACTGGGGATTGAGCCCGCAACCCGGGCATGTGTCCTGAGCGGGAATTGAACCGTGACCTCCTGCTTCATAGTTCGATGCTCAACCACAGAGCCATGCTGGCCAGGTGATACTAGCTTTTCTTCAATATGTTACAGCTAATAGAACACAATACTTCAGGTTCACTTGTGCATATTTTTTTAATGAGCCCAATTAATTAAATTCTGGCTTAATGGTTAACTTAATAGGGACATTGGCAGTGTCCACTTCTACATCCATGAATCTGGGTTCTGCCTTGCTGAATCATATATTTAAATATCCTTTAAATACCATAAACCATTGCTTGACTTTCAGGTTTCTCACTAGAAAATAGTAACAACAAAAAGATGAAAAAGGGAGGGATGGAAACATTTAAAATAAATAAAAGCCAGAAAGACACTTTCCCATAAGAGTTAGGAATGGGAAGTAAGTAAATGGGTTAAAGCATGGCCCATGATCAAGGCAGGTCCTCCATTCAATCTGCCTTTTTTCCTAAACACACCAACTCTTTGTTTGTTAAGCTAATAAACTTGTAATAAAATACAAAGATTTCCCTACAGACAAGGGCAGACAGCTAATTAAAAGATGCTAAAATAGGCAGTTCCCTGGAGCCTGGAGTGGTTTTTAAGGTTGATTTTGAATGACTTGTCCAGGCGGGGAGTCTTCCAGAAGGAAATACATCTTTGTTTGGGTTTAGGTCAAGGGCTGGACTCCCAGGGCTCCAGTGAACCTTGAGGAGAGATGCCTGAGGCAGAGCCCAACAGAGGAAGTCAGATCCTCCGATAGGGTGAGGGGATGATTGACCATCACTCTGGAGTGATATGACCATCACTCTGGAGTGATACTCAGTCGCAGCCCTTCTCAGGCAAAAAGCATGCCCATGGCTGTTGTCTCCTGCTTTGCTGGTCTGCGGTGGGCACCAGTGACCTCTGCAATGCTGAAGTCTCAAGTTTAGATCCAGTCTCAGCAGCTGGAACACCAGTAGTGCCAAGTGCCCTTTAAATATCTTTTCATCTTCTTGTATGTTGCTTTGGAAGGAGAATGTTCTAGATGTGGCCCCTAGTTTTGCTGAATAATGGCATTGTCAGGCTGTATGGATTCTTTCATCATCTAGTCCAATCACCTCATTTTGCAGATCAAGAAACTGAGGCTGAGAGAGAGGGGACTCACCCAGAGTCACTCAGCTTGTCAGTGACAGACAACAGTGGAACCTGTGGTAAGTTGTATGACCGCTTTGGCCTTCTCTTTCCAAGTCTATAAAATGGGCAATTCTACTTATGTGACGTTTAATTTTACATTCCTAACATTTAGTGAGATTTCCATTTTGTGATCATCAAGAGCCTTTTAGAAAAATGATGCATTTACTATATATACCTCAATAACAGTGTTCAAGCATTTTGAAGAAGGCTAACATTCTAGTTAAAAATGTTGCATTGTTTACAGATATCTCTGTATATGGCATGGATTTAGATAAAATATTTGAAAAATACACCTGGTTTTGAATATGGTTGGTAACTTACTGTATTACATCCTAACAGTACAACTTTTTAACAAAACTATAGTAAATGTTTCTTTATTGTTTATTGCCTTATGTTGTTCTCCTCATGGCTGAAAAGTTCAGGTGTCATGAATGAGTAAGGATGCTGGAGTGCAGGGTAGATATGCCCAAGTTGATTGTAGTTAGTTGAAAATTCCATTGCTTATAGCAAAGATTGGCTTTCTTTCTGCTCATTTATTCAACAGGCACATTTTAGACAAACTGACAGCAAATCCATTACGTAATGGCAGCTATAAAAGCTTTCATCAAGCATGTGCATGTTTGGTGTCTCTGTATGGGGTAAGTTGGGTTATAGAGTGTCAAGGGCAAAGGAGTCAAGGATAAGGAAGACTTGGGGTTTCAAGTCATTGTCTCCATGGAGTTTTAGGGGCATATAGGAGGATCAAGGAACTTAATGACCTTTCTTTTTTCCTTTATTCCTTCCATTCCTTCCTTCCTTCCTTTACTTATTTATTTTTTATCTGTTTTCCTTAAGCTCATCAGATGTAAATCTTTCTAGTCTTGTAAAGCTCTGTCTTACAGGTACATTGATATTCATTATCACTGTTAAATATGTGATTTTTTGAAATCCAATTTATAATGCAGAGCACTCTGAGGTTGGAGAGTTCATTGGCTACAGGACGAGAAGCCTTTTTGTTGTTTGTAAGGGAAAGCATCTTTGTACCACTGGGATACAGATCCTCAGACACTGATTACCTAGATGACATATGACAAGTTATTTGTGATGATGCTTATAAGGATGGCTGAGGGGTCAAATGAGATAATGCACATGAAAGAAATGTGTACAATCTAAAATATAACCAGAGTCTATTTTAAAATATATTTTATTGATTTCAGAGAGGAAGGGAGAGGGAGAGAGAGAAAGAGATAGAAACATCAAAGATGAGAGAGAACCATTGATTGACTGCTTTCTGCATGCCCCCTACTGGGGATCGAGCCCACAACCTGGGCATGTGCCCTGAACAGGAATCTAACTGTGACCTACTGGTTCATAGGTCGATGCTTACCACTGAGCCATGCTGGCTGGACTCTCTGCCTCCTTTAAAAGAGACACACTTATATTCTGTTGCAATCCATGTGTCAGGAATCATGTGGCCCCACCTAACTGTGAAGGCAGTGGTGGGCGGGTGCTAAGGCGTTCTAGTCTTCTCTAGGCCCAGGAAAGAAAAGTTAGCAGATACTGGTGAGTGTTGTTTCTGCATCACAAGTTCCAGGGGGAGCAAAGATTCAATTGTTACTGTTATCTCTTTCTATGGGAGCTGTGCAGTCATATGAGAAAAACAATAATTACAGGCGAGTATATAAGGCTATATTACAATTTGGCAGGGCCTATAGTTCCTTAAGCCAGCAACTGCTGTTCTGTTTAGAGAATTCCTTTTTCATCTGCAAGAGCTGACTTGAGTTTTAAAGATTCCTTGTATTTTCTTAAGTTCATGCTGTCTACTTAGTTTTCTTAAATATAGGCCACAATATTTTAAAAACAAAGCCTGGGTCTTTGAAGTGTTGGGGTTTTTTTGTTTGTTTACTTTTGAACCAGTGGCCTTCTGATGGTTTTTTCATAGAATGAAGAAAATTTTCCTTTTCCACTGTAAACCGTGATGGGAAGAATGTAGCCACCCTCTTTTTTGGGAACTTGCTCTATCAATGTCTCAGCATTTATGCCTGTCATCTGTATGGGCCATGGTCATCTATGGAAATATGGAGACAGTTTTCTGGCATCCCATACAAACAGCAAAGGACATGCAATTGGAGAAACCTATACCTTGTGGAAAAATAAGAGTGAAAACTAAGTTAACTAGCTAACTAACTAACTAACTAACTAACTAACTAACGAAGGCCATGTAAGTAAGTTTAGGCTTTAAACCATGAACAGGTTCATGAAATTGGGTTGAAGATGACATGTTGCTGTAGAGTCTAGCTCAGGGGTCCTCAAACTACGGCCCGAGGGCCACATGCAAATACAAATATTGTATTTATTCCCGTTTTGTTTTTTTACTTCAAAATAAGATATGTGCAGTGTGCATAGGAATTTGTTCATAGTTTTTTTTTAAACTATAGTCCGGCCCTCCAACGGTCTGAGGGACAGTGAACTGGCCCCCTGTTTAAAAAGTTTGAGGACCCCCGGTCTAGCTATTGTGTGTGAATGTGTGTGTGTGTGTGTGTGTGTGTGTGTGTGTGTGTGTTTAGTACAATGCTTTTTGTTAAAGCTATTTTACTTTAAAAAATTAGTGAAAAGATAAAAATATGGTGTCATGTTGATTTATACATAAAGGGAGGATAAAAATTGGTACTGTCTTTTGATTTTTTTCTTAGAGTGAAAACAATTTTTAGTCTTTCTGTCTTTTTTAAAACTGTAATGTGACTTATCTTAGAGACTTATCTGGGCTTTCACTATAAAATGTTTCCTCTCCACAATTGTCCCCTATGACTTGATTTTCATATTCCATGGGCTTTAAGTTATATCCAGGTAATGGCTTTACTTCAGCACTTAGACGTACAGCCTCAAAGTAAACATTTGCAGTGAATCTAGAGAGGCAGTAGGATGGCTGATGAGATTTTGAAGATAAGCTAGACAGGAAAACTATTAAAATTACACAAATAATAGCAATAATAATGTAATCATAAATAATAAATAGGCATTCTTTATGATCCAAGTATTGGGCTAAATGTTTTGCAAAGATCTTTTCATTTCATCTGCATAGTTATGAGAGGCAGGCACTGTCATGAGCCCCACTTTAACAACCAGTTTAGAGAGATGTTAAATAAATTTCTCAATATCACATGACCAGAAGGTATCTGTCTGACATGTTTAAAGTTGTACAGCTATAAAGTATGTGGATGGTTTCTAAATGTGTGGATCATCCACAAAACCACAATGTAACCAAAGGAAACTTCAGCCTAAACTGTGTTGTTGTATATCCTGGGAAATATGTGGTCTGGGGTTAATATTAACTATATGTTTAAATGAAAAATTTAGCTATGTCTCTAAAATATGAGTTTTTAATTGGAATAGTATAATAGCTACAGAGGAAAAGGCTGCTTGGAGGAGAGGAAAAGATAAAGAAAACATTTATTCTTTGAAGAGGTAGAAAAAGAGGTTAAATTTGCTTTGCATATTTCTGAAGTAAATGGATCATTTTTTTCTGCTCCCAAGTGATAATTTTCTTCTCTTCTGAAATAATTGAAACTTCTGATGTGTCTCAATATTTCATGGGTGTTTTTTGTGGTTTTTTAGGGGGGGCGGGGAGGGCCCGATCTGGCATGATAGCCTAGCACTGTTAGCAAAAATGTGTCATTGCTCTCTACATATTTTTGTCCTCAGCTAAAATTAGCTTTGCTGAGCAAATAGATACGTGCAGCCACCCTAAACAGATTATTTCCCAGAATGCCAAAGGAAACACTGACAATGGGACTTACTTCTTTCTTCATTAATGTTTTCTTTTTTATTGAATTTATTGGGGTGACATTGTTTAATAAAATTATATAGGTTTTAGGGTTACAATTCAATCATCTGTATACTGTATTGTGTTCACTACCCCAAGTCAAGTCTCCTTCCACCACCATTTATCCCCTGTTTACCGTCTCCTACATCTCCTTAGCCCCCTTTCCCTCTGGTAATCACCATACCATGGTACATTTACACAGTGGAATACTACTCTGCCATAAAAAGGAAATCTTACCCTTTGCAACAGCATGGATGGACCTGGCCAGTATTGTGTTAAGTGAAATAAGCCAGTCAGAGAAAGACAAATAGCATATGATCTCACTTATATGTGGAATCTAACTAACAGGCAACTAATTGATGTGTGTCATCTATGTTTCTCTCTCTGTGTGTTTCTCCCCCTCCCTTCCTCTCTCTCTAAAAATCAATGGAAAAATAATCTCAGGTGAAGATTAACACAAACATTTTTTAATTAAAAATTAATAAATAAACCTACCATGCAAGTTGCTGTCTGGATTATATGGGGTAACATATGACTCATTATGCTCTTCACCTTGCGGACAGCTGGTCTATCCTGAGGGGTAATTTTTTTCTTATTGTAGCATAGCTTTAAACAATCCTTTAAAATTAAAATCCATGTTCTGTTTCAGGTTTCTTATTTCTCAAATAACCATGCTTAGAAACCTATGTTATTCTGCAGTCCTTTTTTTTTCTTTTTCAATGTTCTTTTACTCCTTCCTTCTCTTTTTAACACCCATTGTTGGTATAATTACATAACTCTTTGCTCTCAATAAGAAATAATTGACTGAAAAATCCTGGTGTTGGTACTGCGTCCCAGTGAGAAGTTGCAAACCTTCTGTCACCATCAGATTTGATACCTCTCTCCTCTATCTACCTTTTTTTTCCAGGTTACTAACAAACCTGTGCTATGCTTCAGCTCTATGACTTTTTGAACCAGATATGTACATGTAGTGAGGGATGGCATCAGTGGTAAACTCACTGACCTAATTCTAACTTTGCCAAGAAGTTGTGTCTGGGGAAAGAGAAAAGAAATGTAAACAGATCCCAAGCCGTCATCATCATCATTGTCTTCTTCAAAGGAACATCACCTGCTTCCAATGAATGAGAGGGATCAATATGGGATGAGTTTTACAGGGTTTGATGATCCACTGGGAGGAGGTGGATGAGGAAAGATCATCGATTTACCAGTGAATTA